TTCATTTTGTTAATATTCCAGAACATTTAATTGAGGTCTACATTCGGACTGTTAATCATGCAAATTTTGAAAAACCTAAACTGTCAATAATAAATGACATACCAGCAAGTATGACGACTGTTCATTATCAGATAACAATAACATTTTACAACTGACGGTTCCTTATCAAAATATTCTAGGACTGTTCATCATAAATACTTTATGTCATTTTAATATTATTGAATGATAATAACAACTGCAAGTGATGCAACATTTTTATTGAACATAAAAATTATACACGTTTAGATGTACCATAATTGAGATCAATAAGATACTGTCTTGTGATGAGTATTAATATTCATGCTCTACGGACAGAAGGTTGTCTTCTCCAGAAGCAAATCTCGAATAAAATCACGTTTCAGAAAATTAATCCCATTTCATTACTGACGGCGTCGGATAATATTAAAGCTAAATATTTCTTGAAAAAATACATCTCTGCAAAGCTTATTCAAAACTGAATCAACCTAAGTGAAAATTGATCAGGAAGTTATATCTTCTTTTTTTACCGCCAACACTCAACCAACTTATGGTAGTTAATCGATAGATTCTACGTGTATTTTTAAACCTCACTAGCTTGAAATATATACTGCGGAAAATCTGTTGTTAACAGGGTGTGCGGTTATTACGTAGGGTTTTCCCTGTCGACCATTTCCCGCAAATAGATGAGAACATCGAAGCCGTCAGTGCTATGAATGGTGTTATAAATGGCGTGTTTTGGAAGTTTTTGTTGAAACTTCTCCAAATACCTCCAGAGGCGTGCACGTCGCGGAGAAGGCACACGGAAGGTCATAGTCAAGTCATCATAAGTACCAGAGGTGATTGGTTGACCTGTCGTGACTTACTCTGGAGGTTTGGCGCTAATAGATGCCGTTTTTGTTGTCGTCAGTCAGAAAGTTGATGCCTTGACGGTATTGTCGTCTCCTTTACCACCAAAGAACGAAGAATGGGCTTCCAGGAAGAATCTGCTTGAAAAAGACGTCCCAGATGCTATAATCTCGGACATATGGTTATTCCGGCGCCGAGTATAAATAAACTTAAAACACACACACTTTTGTTGAAAACAAAACAACAACACATTTTCTGTAGTAATTTTTCAAGTGTTGTAAAATGAATAAGAAATTCCTCTTATGCGGCCCATTATTTTTAGAACACAACCATAAAAGTTCTTTTTTTTTTATTTTTCAAATAAACATTAATCACTTCAGCGCGCGCAAATACCGGTTTCAAATTAAAATTTCGTAAGATATGTTAATGACTTCCCGATGCTCGACTGTAAGTAATTTGTATATGTATGCGGTTTTTTTTTGTTTTTGTTTTTGTTTTTTAATTAAAGCTTCTTATTCTTTAATATTTTTTATGATTCTCATAATCTGTATTGAAAATTTGAATTTTATTACACATGGACTATCAAATTATGATGTATGCCCTAGAATTGAATAAACTTTCTAATTACACAATACGGGTAGTCCAGTCAATTTGTGAAAAAATACTTCAGAAAATGGGAAAAGCACCAAACTTGGTACAAATGAACTTCGATATATTTAAGAAAAATTGAGCATGGGACCCATTTTTCAAAATCCAATATGGCGGGGAAAATCCAAAATGGCCGCCATACGTGTTAAAAATTTCAAAAACGTTTGTTTTTAATAAGAAAACTTGATAGATAGCTGCATATAAGGGTATTGTAAACAGAAAAATAGTTGTTATTAATATTTAAACATTGCTTTGTCTTTTTAAAGCTATTACACTAAACATATTTTATTATTTCTGTTTGTCATTAGTTTTCACGACCCTGGAAATCAGATGAAATAAAATATTGTAGAGGTCTGTCATCGCTGTCTCCTAAAGATGTTAAGACATCCTTTTTTAAAACATTCCTTCTTGTTTACAATGTTAATTTATCACAAGGAAATACTTATCAAACAGATTAAACAAAAGTATTTAAAAATTCTAGCATAACTCAAGCAAACCAAAATTAAATATCTGCCCGTCAAGTCAGGTGTACGCCTTGCAATTTTATCTTGTTGATCGTTTTGAAAGGGATTAAGCAAAGAATGTGTGAATAACAGAATTATAAGCTAACATGATTGTGTTAAATTTTAACAGTCATTTGGTATTTGAATTGTCATATCATAAAAATATGAAACTTTATAAAAGAGGGGTAATACTGATCTTTGCGTCTTTCTCTGAAATAATTATTTCCTTGTTAAAACATATTTGACCACATATTTCTGTCAATTAACTGTTCACTTTACTTCCGATTTTGTTGTACGGAAACACATGTTTCTATTTGTGTTTTCTAATCAATTCGAATATATAATCAGTTTAATGGGATCACCACCGGGTAAACGACTACTAGGTACTTTGGTCATGTTTTTTACCACAAATATTTGAATGTTTCTATTGGGATTAAAATGAGCATAGTTAACTAAACAACTGTTTGTATAAATTCCTGACCTGTCTAATTCTAATTATGAGATTAGTGAATATATAAGACTTTCACTACAAAATATTCCTAAAAAAAAGAGCACATGTTTAAATTTATTCCTATACAAATAAAAGATCAGAGTAGGGATCTGTCAATTGCCAAAGATACTTTTATGTTAAAAGTTTGATTAATGAATTATGTAAGATGAAAATATAAGTATTGCTTTTTTTATTTTGCTAATGTAAAATGTAATATTGTGCTGGAATTTTGTCGGAGGTCCTTAGGGGTTTTGTAGTTAAATAGTTTTTTTTCGGCGATAATGGTTAAAGAATATAATGTTTTCAAACTATATGTTCATCACCATCAGTGAATTTTTAGTTAAATGTATGCAAAATACTTACTAAACAGCTATATGATTTAGCGGTTTATGGGCGTTTTCCGCGTACAGCCTCCTGGGGTGTACAAATAAGTTAGTTTTCCTTAGTTATCACGCAAGCATGATCCATGTCTCTGATGTAAGCGACAGTTTACAATTATTTGTCTTTAAAAAATATTAAGGACTATTAATAGTTTATAACAACAAAAGAACATGCATGATATTGAGAATACGGTGTTGCAACGTTCTAGTTAATGACCCGTCATAAACACTTGGTCGCTGCGTAGTAATTGGAAAATTGTTATCAAAAATAATAAAGAATATTTGCCACTGAATTAAAGCAATTACTTATAAATTTTCATTTATGCTTTTTGTTAAAAAAATATTGATAAAGTTATTATTTTGAAGGGTTTTCATACCAGAACTATTTATTACAGACGTACGTACGTATGCCTAAACCTGATTACCGCGGCAGTATGACGTCACGGAGTAGTGATTTAAACAAAAATCAAGAATTTTTCAGAGAATTATTATCTTTACAAATTGCAGATATGAAATTAAAGAATGAAAATATTTTCATATTGTAAATGTCTGTGATGAGTGATGAGTCAGCTTAGAAAAAATCAAGGTACTATTTTTTGACCTGATTACCGCGGCAGTATGACGTCACGGAGTAGTGATTTAAACAAAAATCAAGAATTTTTCAGAGAATTATTATCTTTACAAATTGCAGATATGAAATTAAAGAATGAAAATATTTTCATATTGTAAATGTCTGTGATGAGTGATGAGTCAGCTTAGAAAAAATCAAGGTACTATTTTTTGACCTGATTACCGCGGCAGTAAGATTTGACAGACGGTTATTAACATTGGGTCGGCATAGCCTCCCCAACAAGGTTAGCTTTTAAAAAAGCTAGTAGCGACTCGCTTCGTAATTTCTTTCCAGGGGCGTGTTTAAATGTAAAAATGACAGTTCTGTTAGCTGAAAAGACTTCAGCGAACATCAAAATAAAAGTGACATATAAAGTTAAGGAAGCCAGTTCTCTCAGTTTAACAAAGAGGAAAATGAGTATATATGAAGATGCATGTAAACAGATAGAATGAAGTCCCTATGTCTATGCAAATTTACTATATGGCCTGTTGACCTTGACCAGAAAAAAAAATAGATAAGTAGAATTCATAAAAATGTCTCTTTATACGAAGTTAAGTTGTAATATGTTATTTAGTATTGGAATAAGTGACAGATACAAGTCCTAAAGTAAACACAAGTTGTCAATCAATTCAGCCAGAAAAGCCGGGATCCTGTGAAAAAATAGGATCCCGGAAATTGACCAGTTCAAGAATATAGTTTTCAGAAAAGCCGGGATCATATTAAAGAATAAAGAGATCCCAGGAATTGGACAGTTCAAGAATGCTGTTTTCAGATAAGCTGGGGTCGTATTAAAACATATATATAGGGATCCCGGGATTTGACCAATTCAAGAATATAGTCTTTGATTTTTCCAATTAATTAGGCATATAATTATAAGTATTGTGATTTTGTTAATAAATATCTCTAAATATATCTATATCCTAAGTTAAATCAATTTAACTTTCATTACATACAATAAAAAAACTTTTAATGGCCTTTCATTACGACAATAATCAACACAAATATAGTTTATTAGTTTTTTCCTCTATTATCTTATACGATCCCGGACAGAACCAGATGTCGTTTATGTTAATTAACCAAACGAAAACTTACTACAGAGTAAACAGGACTGGTGAAATCGCTAAATAAAAAGTCAGTGTAAATATGATTTACTGAAAAGAATCCATGAAAACAAACATTTTAATCATCATTATATCTTTGCGCTCAAAACAATACTTGCTGCTTTTTAAAAATGGCGTGAAAATTGAAGGTTTTTTGACGCTATGTAAGATCAAATTTGATTGGCTAAATAATTTTGGATCCTAGCCCTGATAGATAAATTTTGTAGAAAGCTGGAAGCTAAGCTTCGATTAAATTTTTGGATGGATTCGGAGTTTTAGGTTGTTTCTCAGTAAAATCCTAACGTAATACCGGCTCGCCGTGGCGAGCCGGCATAAACGTCACGATTATCCAATGAAAAACGACGTTACAAACGTGCAGTATTATAAGACGTCCTTGCATTGTGACGTTTACAATAATTATAACGTCATATGTTCAGAGCGGCATTAGCAACAGCTGAATCAAGCAAAATACAACCATTATCAGACAATGTTTCGGAATTATTACGCGGAATAGGGTATGGAAGATCCGAGGGACAGTTGGTATAAACCAAACCTGCTGTATAACATCCATTACAGTAAGTTATTTTTTTTATTCTACAGCACATAACCTTGTTTTGAGGGATTTTTATTGACAAAAAAAATACTGTAATAGATTCTACTGTAGTAAAATATTTTAACTGCTTATTTAGATTGAAATGTCAGATGCAAATTTTGTTAAAGTGAAATTCTTCTTAATGGAAAAATATGTCGGTGGCTTTTAATAAAGATGAAGTGAGACTATGTCAGTTGCTTATTTCTTTAGCGATCGTTAGTCGGCTGCTTATTTTAATAGGTGACTTAAATGACAACTGCTGTTTCTGTTGAAATAATATCAGTTGCTTATTTCAATAAGGAAAAAATGTCAATGTAAATTCTCTTTTGTCATTCTAAGATGAATATTAAAAATTTTCCAGATTTCATTTATTTAAATATCGTTAAACTGAAGATAATTATGTAGGCATAATAAACTAATAAGCTATATTTTATTTTTGATAGAACTTGCTCATACAAAAAGCACATGTCAATATTATTCGCTACATTTACATCCTTTCTTTCTCAACATAATTTTTTCTGTCACGATTCACTTTGCTTTAACGAAATATGCTTTAAAAGCACTTCACTCAGGTTTTATGATATGACAGAATTGGAAATAAAGCTTTTTTAATGTTCCTTTTGATGTAGTTCTAGACGAATAACTTTGCGCAAAATTCCAGATCATTTGCTCATCCGTTTTACTAGAACTGTTTTTTTTTTACAATTGTGAAAAATGACCAAAATATTGAAAAGCCTTACTCAAATTGGGCTAAGAATAGCCAAAAATATATATCATGGTTTTCAATTAATTTCTAAATGTTTTCTTAATTATCTTTTTGCATATCTTTCTGTTTTAAGTGTCCCAGACGATCTCTGTATGACTTTTTTTAGGGTTTTGGGGCCTCAGTGGAGTTCCTTTAATTAAAAGTTGATTGTACACAATCTGTCACTGATTTATTTAAATGTTTGATTTCTATTTCAGAACCAACAAATCCAGGGACACCACCAAAGATGAAGATAGTCACAAAGAAATTCAATCCAAGCTACTGTACTTGTGGGGAGCATGGGTGTGAGCCACGTTATAGAATGGAAAGAGAAATTGTATGGTTAAATAATGAGCCAGAAAATAAAGAAGAAAGATTGCTAGTCGCAAGAAACGCTGGTAATGATAGCGTTGTGAATGATGATGATACCGATGATGCAGAAGTTAATGATGATGCCGATGATGCGGAAGTTAATTATGATGCCGATGATGTAAATGATAACGATGATGTTACTGATGATGTCGATGATATAAATGATGCCGATGATGTTAATGATGATGCCGATGATGCAGAAGTAAAATATGATTGCCGATGATGTAAATGATACCGATGATGCTACTGATGATGCCGATGATGTAAATTATGCCGATGATGTTAATGATGATGCCGATGATCCAGAAGTAAAAATGATGCCGATGATGTAAATGATACCGATGATGCTACTGATGATGCCGATGATGTAAATGATACCGATGATATAAAAGATGCCGATGATATAAAAGATTGATGATAAA